TCTTTCTTTCTTTCTTTCTTTCTTTCTTTCTTTCTTTCTTTTTTTCTTTCTTTCTTTCTTATGCCTATATTCCATAGAACAGGTTTAGTTATATGTGCCTAGTGTGTTTGTCACTGTAATATTGAGTTTGGATGGTTTGTATAGTTTTGGCCCACGTTGTGTCATCGGCATTTGCGTAGCAACCAAATACTCAGTCATGTCGGAAAAGAGAACAATTACGCAAATACTGAGTCATATCACAGAGGAGAACAATTAAATAATCATGTTGGAGAGGAGAACATTTACGCAATCAAATACTCGGTCATAACGGAGAGGAGGATAATTTTGTACTGGACAAAGACCATATCCTGAAATATGTTCCCTAATAGCGCACACCCCGACTGATATCAAGACCGACTTGGATCAAGTTTGCGTACGTGAACAAGCTGCGAAGTAGCGAGAGCAGCATTTAGCTCTGCAATGAACAAAAGTGACGCAGATTTGTTGCCACTCATAGCTGTACTTTTCGAAGTTTACTAATTAAACCGGTAAAATAAAATTTATAAACTTGTTCCAATCCTATAGAGGTTCAGAACGTGCTTGTAATTACATGAAAATTCGTTTGTAAGAAGAGATATCAGGCAAAAATACCTAAATATGACTGGTTGCGAAGGATAGTTGCTGGTTCACAAGCTGGAATTAAAGGGATACGGAATGGTTTAGATATTCAAATGCAAATAATTATAAAATAATGAAATGTCTCATAGATTTTTAACAGGCACATTAACAGTTCTGTAAAATAAAATCATAACGTCAACGAAAGTATATGTGACCTTTGAAAATCTTTTGCGATGTACAACATATCGTAAATCAGTCTAACGGACAATCAGTTGCAGTAAACCACTTTTATTTTAGTAATTGTGTCTTACTGAAAAACAGTCACTCACCGACAGACCCTTTCTTTGCGCATTTGATAACAGTGGTCATTTATGGCCAATTTGATTGGTGTTTAAATTTTCAGTCCGATATTAAATTATGGACATTTGATGAAAATGTATTTTAACCCTTTCTTTCTATGTAATAGCCCTCACGTAATGGATAGGTACAAGAACTCGTGATGGACAGATACAAGTACACGTAATGGATATATACAAGTACACGTAATGGATATATACAAGTACATATCATGGATAGATACAAGTACACGTAATGGATAGATACAAGTACACGTAATTGATAGCTACAAGCACACTTAATATATAGATACAAGTAAACGTAATGGATAGATACGAGTACACGTAATGGATAGCTACAAGCACACTTAATATATAGATACAAGTAAACGTAATGGATAGATACGAGTACACGTAATGGATAGATACAAATACACGTAATGGATAAAACAAAGTAGCACAAGTACATGCCATGGATAGATACAAGCTTACGTAATGGATAGATTCAAGTACACGTAATGGATAGATACAAGTACGCGTAATGGATAGATAAGAGTACAAGTAATGGATAGATACAAGTACATGTCATAGATACAAGTATGTGTAATGGATAGATACAAATATACGTAATGGATAGATATAAGTACATGTCATGGATAGATACAAGTACACGTAATGGATAGATTCAAATACGCGTAATGGATAGAACAAAGTAGCACAAGAAAATGGACACCAATCAATGATTTATTTATTGGTTTTGAATTTTATGGGGTCGTAGTCATAAAAAAAAAATATTATTTATTCCTACAGTTAAATACTGCAACATTTCACAAGCGATTATCCTTAACTCATTGGGAGGGGAGGGGGTCTTCGTGGCTTTCAGCCGGTCCTCGTTGACGGCAAATTTCATAGCTTTGAACTTTTAGAACAAACTTTATAAAACGGGTGTGGAAAACCATCAGAAATAATTTCAAAATATTCAGTCAATACACACCAACCCAATACCCATAGTGTGAATAAACATGGTAAATCAAGAAAAAAAAGGAAACCGTTTTAAAGTTTTTGATGGAATGGCTGCCAGTTTCTTCGACTTCTGTTCTCTACCCTAGTGAGGTCACTGTACCAATTCGATTCTCATAGTAAAGTTATGCAGGCTCCATGATATTAAAAATTCAATTTCTGACTGCCCATGATCAAACCTATCTTTATCAGGATAGATGTATTCTGGATGACAGCGTCTTTGTAGAGAAAGGATATGCACCGCGGCATTTTCTGGACTTACATGTGTTTTAAACACGTGCTTTTAATTCCGTACCAAAAAGTAAGGTGTTAATTTCAGTAATAAGTGTTCAAAACTCAGGACTGTTAAATGACTGAAATTCCATCAATAAAACAATGTCTCTATATTTTTTCAGTTATAGCGAGGATAAGTTCTCAAAAGATTCTTTTTACTAAATTATATATTTTATTATGAACCAATATATACTCTTATTTTATCTTCGCCCATTTCCAGAATGGCTCCCATTTTCCCATACAATTATTACCGTGTGTCCTCCAGCTGCCGTTAGCAGGTTACAGTTCAGACTTTATTTGTTTTAGGTCGATTGTACAAATTCACACAACCTACTTTTTTAAAACGTACTTTTGAAAGCTCAGTTGTTCACACTGTGTGGTCTTTTTGTGAGAGAGAACAATATAACCAGAAAACAGCAGACAAATGGGTGACATCTTTTGTCCCGGATATGTTAGAGCCATGGGTCGAAGTTATTATGATCTTTAAATTAATTTGTTTTAGGAAAATCTGCATTGAAGAAAGAACACATGCTATTTTTGCATAAATACTCCCATAAGGAAGACAGTATGTGTCAATTTATTAAGAGGACAATTTAAAGGAGGAACAAATGTATTAACATGAAGATATGGAATAATGGAGTACCTTGAAATAATTTTCCTTTAAAAAAGACATGTCTAATACGGTATGCGACGATGTAGCCTATTTTTCTTCACGCCAAGGTAATTAAAAGAGCAGATGTGATAGAGAAATTAAATACTAGTATACATATAGGAGAAAATGTCAGTTCCTGTCTTGTGTTATGTATATTTAATTGTTTGTTTGTTTCTTTTTTTAAAAACAATGTATTCCTTTGCATGATATTGTAATGTAACTTTGTTTACTGGATCTGACATTGTCCCGAAATTCAGTTCATTTCTATTTGATCTAACTGTTAATTTTTTTTATTTCACTGTTAAACAACCAATAATAGAAATATTGTATCTAGTTGCTGACCTCGTTTCAGAATCAGTGACTGTTTTGGTCAACAATTTTTTAAAAATATTATTTTATTCTTTCTCAGTGAAAGAATCATTAAGTCAGGCATACTTGGAGTACGTGATATGAAACGTGTTTGTTGTTACAAACTTCTACTTTTTTTTAGAAGATTGACCCTCATCCGAGAATCTGTTTTGCGTCTTAATTAGCGTATAACTGTTGTTTTGTTGTTTTTTTTTTTTTTAAATAAATAGAAGTTTGTTAGTCAGGCTCCAAATAATTGACATGTTAAGTTGTTATTATGTTGTGTCCAGTTTGAGTTGAATTTTTATTTTATTGAAAACATGTGATTCTTTTTCCTGGAAATACATATAAGTGCTCCTACAAAATTTTTGGATAAGAGCATTTATTGAAATTTATACGGAATTCAAACCTGGAATAATATTTTCTGTGATTCAACAAGAAACTATTGACACTTCTACACTCTGAAGGTTACAACAGACGTCATTGCCTTTCATTTGGGATTTCATAGGGACTCGAACTCAGTTTTACTCAGTGTTTTTTATTACTAGGACCTAATCTTTTAATTATTTGATTATATTTGTATTTTAGTCTTACCACTGTAAGTTCATTTTTTTCTTAATTTTTCACTTTGTACTCGAGGGAAATAAATTATTTGGTATATTTTACAAAGCTTGTTGTCTTCACTCTTTGTAGTTACTTATTTCAATAGCATAGACTCGTAACACTTGTATGTCAATAAGCCATATTTGCTAAAATCAACAAATATTTATAAAAAAAAAGTAGAATGTAGAACAATGATCATATTGTCTCCTACCCTTGTCATGACATGAAGATAGATATTGATCTGCCTTCAGTGACGGAGAAAGAGAAGGAGGAAGAGGGGCGGAGAAGAGAAGGAGGATGAGGTAGAGAAGAAAGAAACATTAGGAGCAGTAGCAGCAATAAACGAAGAAAAAGATGGTGCAGAATCAGAAGAAGTGAGGGGAAAAAACTTAGAAACAATTAGATTTTATATTTTAAAATCATGTCATTTCATATTGTGCATATCGGAAACATGGGGATATATGCATGCATGCAATGGAGATTAGTGCAAAATTTCGGACAACTGTCATAACTTTTTACCCGAGTGATTTTCTCGCTATTCATTGCCAGGTTCAGTGGCATTTCGGACCTAAAAATGGGCCGATTTTCCGGGTCTGCTCTAAGCTGGTCGAAAAGAGTGTAATGCTACACTCTTTTTATGTCTTCCCAGTTCGTAATTACTCCTCGCTGAATAGGGTAGTGGGCAGAAAGTAGCTCCCTTCGAGACTCCACTTCATCCCCGATGTAAGTCCTTGTTATCAGCAATAGGCATTAAATCCTAAAAAAAATTGCACAATCCATGCTAGGCTTTCATTAAGCTATTCATCTTGTATACGTACTTGATATTTATATTTTCATATATATTTTAAAACTCGCATTAAAGGACAATTTATTCATTAATATTTTAATATAATTGTTGTCCAGCTTAAAGCAATTTGTAAATGTTGTGCATTCGGAATATGTGTGTATTTGTTTTAGATTGTTAAAGTAGCTTTAAAAACTCTTCAGTCATATCGCTACAATGTCTGCGGAGTGGCAGTTTATAGCGATGTCTAGCACTGTGGCATCATGCCGCTGACATGTAACATGATGTCCTACCTAGTCACAATACCCTGACACCAGGCCGACCAGTTCTAACACTAACCTGTTAGTGCTGAGTGCCTATCGAGTTATCTATTAGTACCGTATTTATAAGCATGACGCGGCCAAGATTCGAACCCGCGATCTCTCGTATCCGAGACGGACGCTCTAACCATTAGGCCACAGGTGCGGTGGTTTATTCAGAATGAAAAAAGGAGTACTTAAAGGTACAGTCACAGATCACCGGGAAGTTTTAGGCTCAAGCTACGCCAGTTCTTACTTTGCGTTTTCCTTTATGATACATACCGAAGTTAATAACTCGTTGTTTTAAATCTTAGGAACCTACATCCATGAATGACCTGGATTCGTGGCTGAAATGTGCATTTTTTTGTAGTTTAAGTGGACATCATGACTATCTTCAAAAAAGTGTTCCCTCATTAAAAACACTTCATATTAGCACTGTTTTCTGACTTACAGTCTAGCAAAACCTTGAAAAAAATATTTGAAGATATTCCAGTATGAAGTATATGGTATTGAATATTACCTTGTTATGTTCTTGTCGTATTAGGCCTTCATTACCTGTGTTTGTGTGTGTGTGAGTTTTAGATTTTTAACGTAGCTATAACAAATTTTACAGTCATATCGATACGATGTCTGCAGTGTGGCAGTTTAGAGTGAGGTTACCACTGGGGCATCATGCCGCAGACATGTAGTATGATGTTCCACCCAGTCACATTATCCTGACACCAGACCGACCAGTCCTAACACTATCATCTTAATGCTGAGCATCAAGCGAGGCAGCTGTCAGTACCATTTTTAACAGTTTTTGTCTGACCCAGCCGGGGTTGGAATCCACGACCTACCCCATCCGCTTTCATATAAAGTGCACCGGAGTCATTCGTAAGTTTATAAATGACCTAATATTGCTGAATTTGTATAATACACAAGAATTAACATCATAAAATAAAAATAAAAAATAACATCATAAAATAAACTGGGACAAATTTTCCACTTTGTTGCGAATTCGATCTAATTTAAAGGTGAAGGTCAAGATGTCACAAGAGGCAATTTCGCCGTGTAGAATGAAACTTTGGCAAAAGAGTAGTTTTAAAAATAAAACTGACAAGAAACAATCTCCAGGAATAAAGTACAGATATACAAATTAAACAAACTACTGAATTCAAACATCTAACCTCAATTGCTTCAGACAATGAGGAAGTTATTTCATTGATTGATTGATTGATTGATTGAGAGAGAGAGAGAGAGAGAGAGAGAGAGAGAGAGAGAGAGAGAGAGAGAGAGAAGGCAGATAACTGGTGAAATAACAAGGAAAATTACAAATATTTTTTATATCCTGATGCATTGTGTAATGTATCAATTTGGAATGAATGATAGCAATTTAGTCCAAGACAAATAATTTTATTAGTTCAATACAACTGTACACTGAACATATACACAAATTTATTTCAAAAAATTTTACAAATAAACAAGAGAATAAAATGCATAAAGACAACTGACAAAATGCAAATAAAACGACTTACGATACTTATAATTTTATTCATAGGCACCATATTTTGTCGTGGAATTACTGCTTACTATTAACCATTTTTAAGATCAAATGTAGTATATATAACACAATTATTAATGCGATATCTGTCCAAGACAGATCTATGAAAATTGATGAAAATGTCACTTTCTGCAAAACAATATCAGAATGATACCAAAAAAAAAAAAACCAAACAAAATTCTCAACTGTTTTTAAAAGCATGTACTAAACTTACAAGTATACATATTTTCTTTTTTGTACTTTTTGATCACATCAATGCATTTTTATACTCCCCTGACTATTACACTGAGTGCCAGACAAAGAGAACAGGAGAGGTTGAGATTTTGCAAGTGTTAGAAATGTTTTAAAACTAGTCTAATACATGTGAATGTTTCTGTGTTAAAGTAGTATGAATATTTTAACACATTTTTTTAAAATTTGGGTGTTTACCTTGTCTCTATGAATATGTTACACCAATTTTAATAGTTATTTCATTACAAGGAAATAAAAAAGATCCCATGAACAATTTTGGCTCCTTTAATTAAGTTTGCTAGTAAGTATATAAATTTACAATGCAGTTTACTTATCATTTACAACATCCTCTATAAATAAGGTGTCCTCACTGGAAAAATTCTGACAATGGAAGAATCATGAATGGAACAATCCTAACAATTCCTATTCTACAGCTCAAATGAAAAGTTGGTATTTTTTTGTTATAAAAATTTGTCAGATGTGAATTATTTTCTTCTTGATGTATGACTGAAGTAAAACGAAACCTTTACAATCTGCATTCTCTCCATCACCGAACACCGGTACCAATTTTTCTTCCTAACATCTTCCTCATTAATATTGTGAAAATGTTGTACACTCAAATTCTTCTCTGCCAGTTCAACATAGAACCATTAGGAATTTTCCACTGCACCATATTCCACATCATGTGTATAAGACATGCTACCATGCTTTTGGTGCTGAATGCTAGTTAGATATCAGTCCTAGATAAAATAATGAGTATACAATAAATACACTATTCCATCCAAAAAGGAAAGTATGAACTTATTTTCTTCAAATCAATACTACAGCACATTCTGCAATATCATTCCAAAAATAGGAGTTTAAATGTTCCAATACAACTATACTAGCCTATAAATACCACTTTTTTCCACAATCATACTAATTTTCCTTAAATGTTTGATGCAACAAACAAAATGTAAAGAGAATATGAAAGTCAATTTGAGTCTTTAGTTTGTTTCCTGAAGAATAGTTTAATCCTTTCTGATGGAAATAAATACTAAAACTTCATACACTGACTTTCATAAACAACCAAAAAAGTTCTACAACCCTTGTATAAAATTACTGACAGAAGATGAACTTGATGGAGATTGTCTTGTTTTCAGTCTTCCTCTGGTCAACTTAACCTCAGTTCAAAACATAAATTGCTGTCCATCTCTTAAAAATTGTGGGCATCCAATTTCTGTTTTGTAAAATACAATTAAAAAAATAAAATTTTAAATAAACATTAATTTCCAATGCAGACTTCTTGATTTGAGACAAGATCTTCATAAAATGCTATTTATATATGGGCTCAAAGCCTTTTTTTCTACTGTTGATGTATTAAATGGATGGGGTTGAGATTTGATCATGCTTAACTTTTCTTAATGATTTTAATTTTATCTATATCACCATGAAAGTTACACATTTTATACCTTATATACTACAATTAAATCACAGTATGTAGTTTTGTTTCAATACCCAGCTAATTAATTAATTAAATATGTCAGTCTTTGGTTAATAAAACCCGTTTTTCCATTTAACAGCATCTGACATAATATCCTTTGTGGAGATTAATAAGTACCAATAAAATGCAAGGACAAAGGAAACGCTTTTGATGTCAAAAAGTTCATTATATTCTCTTGAAATAAATACCAGTATAAAACCTTTTCCAAATAACAAAGAAATGACGACCACTAAGAATGTCAGAAATTTCATTAGAACTCAAGAAAAATGCATACAAGTAATAACAAGCTGTAAGTATTGATAAAAGCTGTTTCACTGATTTTAGTGAAGAAGCTGGCCAATAAAGCAGGCAACACTATGAGTGGGGTTTCACCCTCAGATTTAGGATATACATTTTAATGACATGAAATTTTATAGCCTTGAAAGTCTATCAACATGTGTATAATGTAATACAAGACACTGATCAAATAAATGAAAACAAAACAAATCTGCAGCTTAAGAAATCTTGCCATGTATGTTCAGTACAACATTGGAAAAACAGGTAAGTTTTTTTTGTTTTCTCTCTCTCCAATTCTCATTTTTTCTGTTTAAATTCTGTTTTACGCCCCTTCAACCATTGTTCTATTCTTGCCTTTAGATTCAAAGCTGTAAAAATAAAACAAAACACTTTCTTTAAAAAAATATATTTCATAACTTTTATCTTAAGAATATCCATCAAATATTATCTGTAATATTGGTAATAAAATGAAGAAAAAAAGAAAGAAAGCAAGTAAATGTATCTGGATAATTCATGATCTTTTGCTGTACAAGAAGAATATACTTTTTAATTAGGCTACATCATCCTACAACATATAACGGATAACTGATTGGTAAAACAAGCAAAACCTGTATGACAGAGTTACAATAGGCCTAATACATCACTAGTTCCCTTAACAAGCTGCAGTAATTCCATCCATTCTCAGTCCATGAGTTGATGGTTCGATACCCACCATGGCCACCCGGGTGGGCTGCTTTGGAGTGTCCTTGGGCAAAGCACTTAGCTCCTATTTACTTGTTAAGATATGCCTAGTAATGTGTTTAAAGTGAAGAAAATCCAAACAATCAATTCACTGGAGTGCAAAATCAACAAGAAATGGGTCCATAAAACATGGCTGTCCCCACCAATATAATGTAATCAAAGAGAAAACTTCCATGGTAAAATCAATCTGGACTGGGCCTTTGTAATGTAAAGTCTCATAAAAGGTTTGTCTCAATCTATTGAGTCCTTAAACAGTTATGGAGTGAAAACAATACTTTTAATGGACAAGATGTGACAAGAATAGTCACTATATGTCTAATTCATAGGTATGTCTGGCACATACAAACTGCCATTATCTATTTTAACAGGTGGCTGGGATACAGAAACTGCCATTATCTATTTTGACAGGTGGCTGGAACAAACAAATTGTCATTTATTTTGACAGATGGCTGGGATATACAAATTGCCATCATATATTTTGATAGGTGTCTGGGACATACAAATTGCCATTATCTATTTTGAAAGGTGGCTGGGACATACAAATTGCTATCATCTATTTTGACAGGTGACTGGGACATACAAATTGTCATCATCTATTTTGATAGGTGTCTGAGACATACAAATTGCTATCATCTATTTTGACAGGTGGCTGGGACATACAAATTACCATCATCTATTTTGACAGATGGCTGGGACATACTACTTGCCATCATCTATTTTGAAAGGTGGCTGGCACATACAAATTGCCATCATCTATTTTGATAGGTGGCTGGGACATACATATTGCCATCATCTATTATAACAAGTGGCTGGGACATACAAATTCTATTTTGATAGGTGGCTGGGCTGGGACATACAAATTGCCATCATCTATTTTGATAGGTGGATGGGA